ATCCATCTTTGTATCCTTGAATTTACAGTTCCTGCCACCCGACCATATGCTTATTAAAACTCAGGGAGCTGCAGTGAAGCAAGCTTCCCTTTTGACATGTGTCAGATGTCATTGTTATGTGCCATCAAGTCACTTGAAACTCATAGTGACCCTATGTACAACAACTCAGAACCTTGCTCTATCTTGAGCCAGTTTCACTGTGGCTGACACATCTACCTCCATTGAACCAGTCACTGAGTTAATCCATCTCATCCAGGCCTTCCTTTCTTTCGCTGTGCCTCCACTCTCCCAAGCATGATATCTTTTTCCAAGAATGGGCCTCTCCTTGCATCAGTCCCAAAGTATGTTATATGGAGCTTCAAAATCCTCACATCCAAGGAGCAGCTTGGTTTCACCCTCTCTAGGCAAACACAGGTGTGTATTACTACTTTAATTCTTTAGATGAAGTAATCAAAGCTCAGTGAAATTAATTAATCTAGAATCACATAAATAAGAGGAAAAGCTTAGATATAAACACAGGCCACTCAAGGTACAGGAGAAGACCTAACATTAACCTTTAGCATCAGGCTCCAAGACACACTGCAGAGATGTCAATTTACTAGAGAACACAATGTGCTTCAGGAAGCAGTGGGAAGCAGTGAGGAGACAGTAGCTAACCTAACCGTAGTAAGGTGTTGCACTGTCAACCCAAAGGCATGGAGTTTGAATGTACCAGCTGCTTTGTGGGAGAAAGATGGGTAATACCCTCCCATATGATTTATAGCCTCAGGAAACCCACTAGAAGGTCAACTATGAGTCCATTACAACTTGATAGCACACACCACCACCAACAATAAACCAATTGCCATCAAGTTGACACCAACTTAAGACAGCCCCATGTGTGTCATAGTAGAATTGTGATCCATAGAGTTTTTAATGACAGAGTTTTCATATTACCAGGCCTTTTCACTGAGGTTATTTATAAAGATGCAAACCTCCAGTCTCCTTATTAGCAGCCTGGTCCATTAAAGTTTGTACCACCAGGGGCTCCTATGCAGTAAAAGTAATGAGTAATAAATCATCAAGATGTACCAGGCACACTTTAAGGACCTGAATATATATAAAAAACCCCTTATCTGGTAGGATTATTACTAATCACATTTTACAAGGCAAACAACTGATTTATGGATGAATTTAATTCCTTGCCCTGATCACACTGTAGCCTGTGGAATTATGATTTGGACACAGTCTGCTCACCTTCATAAGCAGCAACCTGAACTTAAGCTCTTTTGTCTGGGAAAAGGAAATGGACACAGGCTGTTGCACCAGGCCTGATGCATTTGTTCTTTAGTAAGAGCTGCCCTTCCACAGAGTAAAAGCACATCCCAGTTCTAGTGTCCTACCACTCACTTGGATCTCCCAGGACTCTGCTTTACCCTCTACCACATGGCTGACATCCTGGTCTTGTTTCTGTTAGAAGAAAAAGGCAGTGGAGATAGCAGTGGCCTACCAGACAGGAAGTATCAGAAAATGCCACTATGAATGGCACCTCCTATTGAGTTCACACCTCTGTTTCCTTACCTATAAAATGGGAGTGCTCAGAAAGGTGACCTGACAGAGCGCAGAAATTACTGAACAATATCACTACTATTACAAGCAAGCAAGATTCTGCTGAAAATTATCCAAAAATGACTGGAATAGCACCTCAACAGAGAATTGCCAGATGTGCAGGCTGGATTTAGAAGAGGTCCTGGTACTAGGAATATCATAGCTAATGTTAGAGGGATCTTGGCTGAAAGCAGAGAGTACTAGAGGAATGTCTATCTGTGTCTCATTGATTATGCAAAGGCATTTGTCTGTGTGGGTCACAACAAACTGTCGTTAACTTTAAGAAGAATGACAATTCCAGACATTTGATTGGACTCATGTAAAACTTATACTTGGACCAGGATGCAGTTGTCAGAACAGAGCAAGGAAACACTCTGGTTCAAAATTGAGAAAGGTGTACACCAGGGATATGTCCTAGCTCCATACCTTTTCAACCTATATGCAAAACAGATTATCCAGGAGGCTGGGCTCTATGAGGAAAAATGTGGCATCAGGATTGGAGAAAGGCTCATCAAAAGTCTGAATTATGCAGATGACACAACCCTCCTTACCATAACTGAGGAGGACCTGAAGTGCTTGCTGTAGAAGGTCAAGGACCGCAAGCTTCCATATGGATTAAAGCCCAACATCAAGAAAACAAAGATTCTCACCACTGGGCCAATTTGCAGCATTATGATAGATGGTGAAGAGACCGAGATTGTTAATATCTTTCATTTCCTTGGCTACACAATCAACAGTCTTGGGACCAGCAGCCACAAAAAGATGAATTGCATTGGGAAGTCTGCTTTCAGGGACCTCTCCAGAGTACTGAAGAGCAATGACATCAGTCTGGAGACTAAGGTGTGCCTGATCCAGGCCATAGTCTTTGCATTTACTTGCTATGTGTCAGAAAGCTGGACTGTGAATAGGGATGATAGAAAGAAAATTGATGCCTTGAGCTGGAGAAAAGTATTGAATATACCATGGACTGCCAGGAGAACAGACAGGTTCATCCTAGAGAGGGTGGAAGCAGGCTTCTCCTTGGTGGCAAGGATTCTGAGGCATCATCTGACACACTTCGGGCATGCTGCAAGGAGGGACCAGTGCTTAGAGAGGAACATAGTACTTGGAATGGTGGAGGGAACACAAAAGAAGAACCTCAATGAGATGGATCGATTCAGTGACTGGGGTAATGAAGGTGTTGTTGTTGTTGTTGTTGTTGTTATGTGCCGTCGAGTCGCCTGCGACTCATAGCGACCCTATGTACAACAGCCCTAACCTTGCTCTATTCTGTGCCAATCGCACTGTCTCTGACACTCCCATCCCAATTATCCCAGTCACTAAATCAATCCACCTCATAGAGGGCCTTCCTCTCCTGCGCTCTCCCTCCACCCTCCCAAGCATGATGTCCCTCTCTAAGGACCGGTCTCTCCTCACAACATGTCCAAAGTAAGTTAGACGGAGCCTCAGAATCCTTGCCTCCAAGGAGCCACCCGGTTTAACCCTCTCCAGGACAAATCTGTTTGTTTTCCTAGCAGTCCATGGTATTCTCAATACTCTTCTCCAGCACCACAGCTCAAAGTAGGTGTGTCAAAAACAATAAGGTTGGCATAGGATAGTGGATGCTTCAGGGCTTTTGTCCATAGGGTCTCTATGAGTTGCAAGTGACTCAAGGGCCCATAACAACAACAGTAAATTTGGTGTACTACTCAGATACTACTGAGGATTACCAGTCTGGGCATCATGCTATTTTACTACTTATTTTGTGAAATTGGAAGCATGAGTGACATCCACTTCCATAATAGCTTGCCTCCGGAAACCCTATGAACCTGGAGAGAGGATGAAAAACACACAAGTGTTGAGGACTTTTCTTTCATAGGGTTGCTATGAGTCGCCTATGACTTGACGGCACTTAACAACAACAACAAGATTTTGTGAAAACAGTAGCACCATCTGTGTACCTCCATGCCCAGACTACACTAGTAGGCTGGCTCAATGATCTATTCAACTCTAGTTGAGGCAGTACCCTGGCTAGACTTGCATCCCTCAAATTCATGACTTCCTGGAAGGGCTGAGTTAATGAGCATTAATTCTAAGTCAAGGTCAAGTTTAAATCTATATGAACACATAGTGCTTTTCTGTGCTGCCAAGGACACATCATACATGAAGATCAAATCTGGCCAGTTCTGGCACACATAGAACTCATTGAACCATTCCTGTACCTCTAAGGGGGTGGTACTGACATTTTAACATTTACCATTTTAACATTTTAATGACGGATTCAATTAAGTTACAGTACTTCAGTGACTGGTCTAAGATCACACTCATGCCAAGTGATTCTTAAGTGGCTTCCTCTAATCATGATGTTGCAGGATGAATCCCGTAGATGTCAGTACAGATGAAGAACTATCTATATGATCAGCTTGGGTCCCTTGGAACACTGGCTGGAGCAGGTCCCCAGTGAAAAATGGAGGGGGAGAGTGTGAAGGCTCTTTGTGGCAGTGATACTCCAGTTAAAAGCCACATTTCCTATACTTGATATCAAGCTGCATGGCCAGTGAGCAGGTGACAGATATGACTCAAGAACTCTGGCCTCATTTGGAGCTTGTTCCCTTCCAGCCATGAGGGAATCCTCAAATTGAGGAACTTTCTCCTGATTAATAGTCTTGTCTTCCATGAAGGCAGCAGGTGACCCTTACCTACAGTTTTAAGAACAGCACTCCACAATCATGCATTGCCACCACGACAGCAAGGTCTTCCCATCACTCTCCAGGGGTAGCCCAGCTCCAGATATGAAGCTGCTGAGACTGGTCCCTGGATGTGCCCTTGGAGTTTTTCAGTGAAGTCCTAGGGTCTCCGGGCAAGTCCTATGCCTGGGTAATAATTTAAGGCATGGGGAAGGAGAAAGGATTTGGCTGAGGCAAGGAAGGCTTTGGTGCCTCCACTACTCTGGAACCTCTCCTACTCCCGACTCCAACAGTCTTAACACTTCCTGCTGGTGCTGGGGGCACAGTCCAGCAGGGTCCAAGGCATTTGTCAGTTTTTCCCCCACTGAAAAAAAAACGAACTGCTCCATTTAATGGAAGCTGTCTTACCCTCCTTACCTCTCAAGAGCCCACACAACAGACTCCTGGAGAGTGGACGCCCTGGAGCTACTGCAGCCCTTTTGGGCCATCACCAGCCTGACTGAGCCTTAGCAACTGGCATCTGAGAGGTTTCTCTCTAGCAGTGTGCTGCCTTAAGAGGTCTGGGAGGCCCTCGGAGACAGGAACTCTGGATCACTTTGGGGTCCCCATAGCAGGTTCTGAGCTCCATGAAGAGGGGTTAATAAAGGAGTAAGTGAAGAGAAAGGCAAGGTAAAGCAGGAGTCGGAGAACAGACCTGTGAGGGAGGGTCGTAAGGAGGAGGGGGCCTTGCAGTCTCCTTCCACTTACCCAGCCGGGCCCGGAAGCTGTGCACCGTGTTGCCCCCTCCGGGCTGGTGTCCCTTCTCGTTGTACTTCTCATAGAGCCTGAACATGTGGACAGCGACCATGTCCTGGACACTGGGGTCCAGCCCTGATGCTGCATCTCCTGGGTAAAATTGAGGGTCTTTTCCCATCGCCACAGCTTGAGAGGCTGCAGCTGGCACAGGCTAGGCGGGGACCCCTTGTCTGCTGCAGGCCTCCTGGAGCCCTAGTAGAAGCAGCAGCAGTAAAAGCAGTTGGGGTCCCCAACCTAAGGTGGTCTGAGCTGGCTCACTGGTCATGGTGAGGTGGTGGTGGAGACAGACTGGAGCACAGAAGCAAGGAAAGCGTGGACGCTGAGTAGCCAAGGACCCAGCCCCCGTTAGGAGGGAGGGCGCTCAGAGCGAAGGGCACTGGCAGGAGCGAGGGCGCGCGGGTCGTGAGAAGGGCGCAACACATCGACGAGCAGAGCGAGCGGCGCCTGCAAATTCTTGCCGCTGAGGAGAAGCCACGCTGCCTGCGGACTAAAGCCGCGAAACTTCACCAGTAGTGCGAGCCGGCCTGAGGCTTCGGGAGGAGTGGCAGGCAGGGCAGTTGGTGGCACCTTCGGAGTCTGGGGGCCTGAGCTGCGCACTGCAACACCTCAGGGCCGCCGCCAAGTTGTCGCAGGCGGGGCTGCAGCGACGAGCCTGTGTGTGGCGACGTGCGCGCGCGCGCGCCTCGAGGGGGCGTGGGGCGCGCTCCGCGAGCAATGCTGAAAGCAGAGGGCGGAGAGCTAGGCTAGGGATGTTGGCGTCTGTCCGCCTGGAGTTGACTAAGCGTGGATGGACCCTTTTGTGGGGGTACTCTTTACATTTTTTTTTTTGAGGCGGGGTATTCTGGGGATAGTATGTAGTGGCAAGATGACAGCTCCCCCTTGAGGAGACCAAAGCGTATTTGTATGCGTCCTGTTGGCTCGGAACCTTCATGTATCTGAAAGGCAAGTGTGCTCCTGTCAGGCAGGTTCTGGAAAAAAAAAAGAAAAGGAAGAAGAAGAAGAGAAAAAAAAAGGGGGGGGGGGAAGCATCCAAAAACCAAAAACCAAAAACCAAAAACACAACAATAAAACCCTTACTGGAGTACTAACTCCGCTCAAGACAACTGGATGGTGATCTTGATTAATTTCAAAAGTAATCAAGGCCCCTTTATGTGACAACAAAGATTCTGGTTACTGAAAAAAATCTGTTAAAAGTTCTTATTCATCTTCTCATATATGGGTACTTAGATTGCATAGAAGGGGACAGGCTTTCAATTTGCCATTTTACAAAAAGTTTTCAAAGCACCAGAGTGTGAGAGACACTGTCTTTCTCAAGAAGATTTCACAATGAAAGGAAAGTGTATTGAGCCTCTGGCCCACTTCTCCTGATTTAACCTTGAGTATTTGTTCTTGTTAAGTGCCATCAAGTCAGCAATGACTTACCACTCCACTGTGAACAGATCTGAGCCTGGCCCTTTTCTGACTCATCCTCATCATCTCTGATATACTTGATCCTACGAGCAGATTCATCCCAGCAAAGGTTAAAACAGGTTGCTCCTTGGAAGCAAGTATTCTGAAGCTTCATCTGACATACTTTGGGTAAGTTGCAAGGAGGGACCAGTCCTTGGAGAAGGACGTCATGCTTGAGAGGGTGGAGGGACAGCGCATTTTGATTCAGTGACTAGGATAATGGAGGTAGGTGTGTCAGAGACAATGAGATTGGCACAGGATAGAGCAGGGTTTAGGTCGCTATGAGTTGTAGGCAACTCGATGGCACCTAACAACAACAACTGATAAAATCACTGTGTCCATTCATCTTGTTGAGCTTTTGATGACATTCCAACTTTTCAAACATAGTATCTTTTCTCCAAGGACTGGTCCCTTCTAACAACATGTCTATATACAACATGAAATTTCACCATCTTTGCCTTTAAGGAGCACCCTGGTTGCACTTTATCTAGGACATATTTATTCTTTTTTTTTTTTGCAGTCTAATTCATTACTTTTATTAATACTACAACTCAAAGGCATCATTTCTTCTGTCTTCCATATTCATTGTCTGACTTCAGATGCATAGCAAATATCTGAAAAGACCATGGCTTGCATCAGGCTCACTTTAGCTTTAAACTGACATTGTTGTTCTCCAATTTAGAGAGGTTATTGACAAGAGATTTTTCCAATGTGACATATCTTTTGGCTTATGGATTGCTGCCACTAAAGGTGTTGATTGTGGATCCAAGTAAGATGAAAGAGTTAATAACTTCATGCAGATGACACAACCCTGCTTGCTGAAACTGAGGAAGACCTCATGCACTTGCTGCGAAATGTCAAGGACTGCAGCCTTCAGTATGGCTGAGGCTCAATGTCAAGAAGACAAAGATTCTCACCACTGGACCAATTGGCAGCATCAGGATGGATGACGAAGAGATTGAGATTGTTCACAGCTTCAGTTTGCTCGGCTCCACAGTCAACACTCTTGGCACCAGCAGTCAGGAAATAAAAAAGCGTATCGCGATGGGAAAGTCTGCTGTTAGGGACCGCTCTAAAGTACTCAGGAGCAACAGTGTCTCTCTGGAGACTAAGGTGTGCCTGATACAGGCCATGGTCTTTGAAATCGCTTGTTATGCATCAGAGAGTTGGACAATGACTAGGGAGGACAGAAGGAGAGTGGATGCTTTTGAGCTGTGGTGCTGGAGAAGAGTACTGAATGTACCATGGACTGCCAGGAAAACAAACAGATTCATCTTGGAGAGGATTAAACCAAGCTACTCCTTGGAGGCAAGGATTCTGGGGCTTCGTCTGATGTACTTTGGGCATGTTTCCAGGAGGGACGGGTCCTTGGAGAGGGACATCATGCTTGGGAGGGTGGAGGGACGGCGCAGGAGGGGAGGACCCTCTATGAGATGGATTGATTCGGTGACTGGCGTAATCGGGATGGGTGTGTCAGAGGCAGTGCGGTTGGTGCAGGATAGAGCAGGGTTTAGGGCTGTTGTGCATAGGGTCGCTATGAGTCGCAAACGACTCGACGGCACATAACAACAACAACAACCACTGGACTGAAAAAAAAAAGATACATTCTGGTGGTATAGCTTACAGGGAGTTGTGCTGTTAACTTAAGATGGACTACCCCTCTATTATGATTTACAGTGCCCAGAAAGTGATTGGAGGGTCAATTATGTGTCAGTTCTCACTCGAGAAAAAGGCAATGAAGACTTTTAAAAACTTATTTTCCTGGGGGTCACAAGCTTCTAATTGGCTGAAAGATCATCAGGAGAGTTACAGGTGGGATGTTCAGAAGCAAGGCTTTCTCAGTGATAGTTCTATAAACACAAAGAGAGGTTACATGATTAGCCAAAGACATATGCCGTTCGGTTTACTGTATGGTGGTCCCAGATCAGTATTTTTTTTTAAATTTTTTTATTTCATTATTTTTTGTGTGTACCGTCAAATCAGATCTGACTGGTACAGGAGGAGATTGTTCCTCCTTCTCCAGCAAAGCATCTGGTGGATTTGAACTGTGCACCTCTGAGGATCAGTATTTCTTGTAACCTTTTAGTAAACAGTTTCCTCAGTTATGTTTGTTTCTGGAGGTTCATGGAAAGATTTAGATAACACTGTCTCTCAAGACTCTCTCAGTTATTACTGCTTCTCATATCTGCTTGACTAGAACACAAAGAAAATTCTTTGTGAACAGATTGTATACCCTTCACAGTTAGATCTCGAAGAAAAGAAATACTGTGCTTGAGTTTGTAAGCCTTCAGAATTACATAAAGTGGTTTCCTAAAATTAATTCATCTACAGCTTAATCTTTTGGAATTTGTGCTGCTAACCCAAATGTGGTGCCTCCCTGGTGGTTCGAATCTATCAGGGCTCCAAGGGAATAATAGAAGGGCAATTATGTGCAATTTTGAGCTTCTAAAAAGCTGCTGGAGGGTCAGTTATAAGCTGGTTCTGAGAGATAGAGGAAAATTTAGTGTAAATATTAATTCTGTCAAGTCTGTTTCTCTGGAGAATTCTGACCAATATACAGGATAAATAAGAAAACAAAGTGAGTTTAAAAGTATTATATTTTAGCGCATTATGTTTATTGTAAGTGCACGGAATGAGGGTTGCAGAGTGCATTATATTTGGGGTTGGGGGTGTGGTTGGGGGATGTGCGGGGGGGATTGTATACCAATAAGGGAGGTTTTTTTTGCTTTTCAAGGAGAGGAAGAAACGGGGGGGGGGAGAAGGGTGCAACAATGAATAAATGGAATTCCAAAATCTTTGTAGATGTTCATTGAAATGAAAAATACATACATACATACATAAATACTGCATAAGACCACTGTTATAAAAACAGGACAGACACAGGAGTCTGGGGGTTGGGGGGAAGGGAGCAAAAGAGTGGAGATACAATTAACAATGCACTAGAACAGAAGACAAAAAGGACTTTCTGAAAGGGCTGTATGATTAGGCATGTATGGTGTGCATTAATTACAAAGTGAATTTGGGGGGAAGGAAGGAGCTGAGAGGAAAATGTGCATCCATGAAAGGATAAAAACCCAACTTTTCTGTAAACTTTCATTAAAATCACAATGTAAAAGGAAGAAAAACATTATAAAATAGAATCCCTATATTTTTAGTTCATTTTCATTCTTAGTACAAGATATATGTATGACCATCACGACTTTCAATTAACATAAGTTTTCATCACTGAAAATGCAACACTATGTTCAAGCTGGATTCAGAAAGGCTGTGAAATAAAGAACATCATTGCTGAAAAAAAAAGAAAACAAAGTGGCATATGTGGTTGAACACTTCACTACTGTCTTATTCGTTGCTGGTTTTAAACCCACACAGCAGTGGCATTCTGTTTCTGTAATGAACTCAACCAGGAAAAGCTGGTGGCTTATTTTCTCACAGTTTCAGGACTAGAAGTCTGAATTCAGAATGCCACCACTGAGAGAAGGCTTTTTTTCCCACTTTCAGCTCTGAAAAAAAGTTCTTTTACTCTTTGGGACATCTGCTCTTAGAGATCTCTGTGTGGTATCTCTCATTCTCCATCTTTGTGTCTTTGATCTTCTCTTTTTATATTTTAAAAGAGCTCTGGTGGGCTAGTAGCAAGAAACTTTGCTGCAATCCTGAAGATGCATAGTTTGAGACCAATAACTGCTTCATGGGAGAAGGATGGGCAGTATCTTTCCGTGCCACTAACTGCCCTTGAAAAACCACCAGAGCATCTATTATGGGTCAGTTCTGACTTTATGGTACACAACAACAACAAAAGATTGACCCAAGACAGAC